TCCTTCTGAATAGAACCCAAGACGTGAAGGCAGAACTGGGGCTGCTTGTATTGCCACTAGTGGTGGGGCTGGTGACGGAAATCAACATAATGGAAGGAGACCTGAGAGAGGCACAGAGGCCAAGTCCTAAGGACACTGAACCTGAATAGGGATGCTTCTGAAGCCATTCTTCCTCTCTGACCGTCAAGTTAAATGAGCCATTAAATTCCCTTTTTTCTCCCTTAAGCCTGTTTGAGGTTTATTTTCTTTTGCCTCTTACAACAAAAGGAATCCTAACAAATGCAAAGTTTGTACCACTCATTTTGCACATATTAGGTTGTACATTTTTGTCCTGGGTTATATTTTAAATTCTAACTATATAAATGTCTAGATCATAGTAGATTCTCAGCCAGTGTTAAAATGCCTCTAAATTTCCACATTATTTATCATTATTATTCATACTATTTAGTATTTTCTTTTTATATCTGGATATCTTGTCTCTCCAACTAATTATATTTGTTTATTCATTCATTTTTATTCATGCATTTATCAGTTATTTATTGTATTTAATCTGTGTGAGGCACCATGGATTCAATATCAAGTGAAAGCAAAAATGTCCTTGTGCTCATGGAAATTTTAGTCTAATAGGGGAGTTAGAAATTAATTAAATTATCACCTAAATATGTATAAAATTGCTAAAATGATAGCACATAAAGACCAGTGGTGCTATGAGTGTATGGTATGAGTTATCCTCATTGGGAGGTCAGGGAGGACTTTCCTGGGCAAGTGACTCTGGTGTGGGCATCTGAAGGATGGGAGGAGCCAACTAACTTCAGACACTCCAGTCAGAGGGCAGAGAGTGTGCCCAGCAAGGGCCTTGGTTGGAAGCACAACACAGTACATTTTATGAACTAGAAAGGGGCTAGTAGAGCAAAGGAGAAAATGGGAGAGGTCCAGTTTCTTCCTTTCTTCCTTCCTTCCTTCCTTCCTTCCTTCCTTCCTTCCTTCCTTCCTTCCTTCCTTCCTTCCTTCCTTCCTTCCTATGATAAGAGCAATGGTAAGGCATGGAGGGAAAGTGTGTGTGTGTGTGGGGGGGCGGTCAGGTGTGGAAGGTGACATGATTTGATATGAATTCAGAAAATATCACTCTGCTTGCTCTGTAGAGAATGGATTGGCTGAGGGGAGAGCATGCTGATGGAAGCTGGAGAGACAATAAGTAGATAAGAGGTATAGTAAGGAGTTGTAAGTAATAGGACTTATTGTTATACTTTAATACAAAGTTAAGAACAATCAAGGGATCTGGAAAAGCTTATAAATTCTGAATATAATCCTATAAATATGCTATTAATACTCCGAACATGAGATTGTGATTTGGAAACACTGAAGAGTTCTGGAAAGACAGGACAAAAGAGTAATATTTGAACTGGAGCCTGGAGGACAAGCGAGATTTCTGTTTCAATTTTAAGTGGAATTTTAGGCAGAGGGACAGCATCTACATAAGCCCAAATATTTAATATTTCCTTCCTTCCTTCCTTCCTTCCTTCCTTCCTTCCTTCCTTCCTTCCTCCCTTCCTTCCTCCCTCCCTCCCTTCCTCCCTTCCTCCTTTCCTTCCTCCCTTCCTTCCCCTCCTTCCTTCCTTCCTTCCTTCCTTCCTTCCTTCCTTCCTTCCTTCCTTCCTTCTTCCTTTCTTCCTCCCTTCCTCCTTTCCTTCCTCCCTTCCTTCCTTCCTTCCTTCCTTCCTTCCTTCCTTCCTTCCTTCCTTCCTTCCTTTCTTCCTCCCTTCCTCCTTTCCTTCCTCCCTTCCTTCCTTCCTTCCTTCCTTCCTTCCTTCCTTCCTTCCTTCCTTCCTTCCTTCCTTCCTTCCTTCCTTTCTTCCTCCCTTCCTCCTTTCCTTCCTCCCTTCCTTCCTTCCTTCCTTCCTTCCTTCCTTCCTTCCTTCCTTCCTTCCTTCCTCCACCTGCTACTATTTTTTAATCCCTCTATGTGCCAGGCATTGTCCAAAGAACCAGCCATCACATTCTAAATAGGTAATATTATTTCTGGGAATGAAAATGCTTGGGAAATGGCACATTTTCCTACCTGGTGAAAGTGTGTGATACAATGCATGTGCCAGGGGCTTTTGACTAAATCCATAGCAATAAGGGTCCCTTCCAGTTTCTTCTGCAAGTGAGTTTGAGCCGTGCAGGTCTGGCAGCAGAGTGGTGGGGAGATTGAAGCTGAGACAGGCATGGCAACCTCATGCAGGAGGCTATGTAAGTTGTTGAGACTTTGGATCTAATTGCAGCAGGAGTGAGAGGAGGGCATTCTGGGGATTATTTTGTGGGGGAGTAAATAGGATCTGAGGAGCACCTGGATATGAGGGACAGAGGGTCCTGAGTCAAGGAAGACAGAATTTCCTTGCTTTGGGGTCTGGACAGATGGTGATATTATTCTCTGGGCTGCATGGGAAGATGAGAAATTTAAGGAGAGAGATAATGTGCACATATTGAATTTGAGGCACTTGCCGTTTACTTAGGTGTGGATATTTTGGAGGTTTTCCATTTCAAAACAAAAATTACAGTCTCAGAAGAGAGGTGGGGTTAAAGATGAAGGTTAAGGAGCCATGATAGTATGACATTCTTTGATGAATAATGATTTAGGGATATGACTATAAAAAAGAAAAATGGCCAAAAATGGATCCCTAGAATATCTGAACTTTGAGGAACAAGACAGATGGAGAGATGGCTTATGGAGTAGTCTGGGAAGGTAAGAGGGCAGGCAGAAGGGTGTGACGTCACTGAAATGAAAAGGGGAACAGCATTAAGAATGGCATGAGTGGTCAGTGAAATCTATTTCAGTGCACGTAAGTTAAGTTCCAGGAAGACAAAGTAGAAGTAATTAGATTAGTCAGTTATGGTATTGTTAGGGACTTTACTAGAATAATAGTGTTAGGTAATCGGTGGCCACCTTGCACGTGGGCAGCCTACGGAGTGATTGAAAGGAAAGAAGAGGGAGGCAGTGAATATAGGTGCTTTTTCTAAAGAGTGGTAGTGATGGGAGGAGAGGGGAAGGTAGCAGGGAAGGAAGGAAGAATTTATACAGAAAACTATCCCCCCCTTTCTTTTAAATAAGGATAGGTGAACCTTGGCCACACGTTGAAATTAATGAAAGGAATTTTATGACTTGTGGAGAGGGTGATATTGGAGAGGAAGCCAATATTTATTAAGTTCAGGAAACTGGATAAAAACAGAAGGAAAAAGAAAAATGCAGGGGAAAGATCTGGAAAGGAGATGAAAACTCATAGAGAAGGGGAGACAATGAATGAAGGTGAGCACAGAGATGGAAGGGCACAAAGAGTCTCTTCAGAGTTCAATTTAGTGCCAGTCTCTCTACTAGGTTGTGTTTTTGAAGCCTCAGGACATAAACGGTGTTGGAAAAAGTAAGATCACTATAATTTTAATTTTTGAGTGCTCACTGTGCTCGTGCAGGCTGGGTAATAAAGACACGAGGCAGAGATGGACAAGCTGCAGCTGAGGAAGTCGAGGAATTTCTGAGCTAGCTGCCCTGCCTCTGAAATCATTGCTATGTCAGCTCAGCTCAACCATTTAGATCACCACAGAGAGGTCCTGTCTGAGGCTGAACGTCCAATTAGCGGCCAGTCACATTGCTGATTGAATTTTATTAAGGTGGATTATTTGTGATGTCTGATATTCCTGTATTTTAGAATAATTTTGATTCAATTATGGGGCAATAATCTAGTCTATGTTAGTTTCAGGCAGGGCAATAGTAATCCATCAGGAACACACCTTGAGCCAAAAGCTCGCCAAGTCTATTGCTTTCCTCTTTCCCTTGGTGAGCTCTGCTCAGACGAGTGCCCCACCTCCCAATTCCTGTGAGTGTTGAATGTCTTCAAGAAGGTAAATCCTGAAGACTGCAGGTCTTAAACTGGGCTCTCACCCACCTGGAGCGTGCTTGCACTGAGAAATTAGAGACCACATAAACCATCTCCCCCTTATAGAACGCCTCCTTTAGTGCCCAGGTGAGGAAATCAAGGCCCTGAAAGATACAGTGACTTAATTGAGATTACACTGTAAATTTGTATTAAAACTAACCCCCAATCCTAGGATTCTGACCACTCCCCTCTAAGCAGATGGTTTAATAACTACCTGCTTTGTGTTTCTTTCACTCATGGGTTTCTCTTTCTTTCCCTCAAACCTCAGTAAATATTCTTAAAGGGGTGGTGGGGTGAGAGAAAGAACCAAGAGGAAAAATTGAATGGCTTCAGGAAGAAGCACATGTCACCTGGAGGGTTGCTTTCATTCCCTTGGTGTGATCAGTTTATCTGTTGCTGTGTTTATTGGCCCTTAAGTCCTGACATCTGGCTGCCACTGCAGTGAAGAACACGTTTTCCCGGCTCGGAAGGCCTGGGAGATGGAATTAAGAGCCTTCGAAGGGAGAGTGGGTTACCTAAAATATGGGAGAATTTGTTCTGCTTTTTATTGCTGTTCACCATTTTGGGAAAATCCCTACATAAACTAACCCAATAAGAAGTGAATGTTTGCATTAACGAAGGAGTTTTCTCTTTTCAAAGGAAACCTCCCCCAGTGCTGTAAACCTTCCCAGTACTTTTAAATGTTTATGTATCAATTACCACTTGTCAGTGTGGCTTGGCAACAGGAAGCCTAGCAAAGCTCTAAAGCACAAATGTTAGGCGCTGCTGTCAATTAAATATTAGTCAGAAATGATAGAAGGTTTCCCAGAGAAAACAGGCTTTTGTTTATGAAAATTCCACCCGCAAGTACTTTGGAAGCAACACCTTATAGAAGGAAGCAGTGAGGATTCTTGGATTGCTTGTGTTCGTTTCAGTGCCCCACTCGGAAAGAGTCCACATTACTCTTTGGGAGCTGTGATACGGAAATAAAACGGAGGCCGTTGGAGGGTTTTCTGGCTTCTAAGCATAGGGTATCCCACTAGATGTGATCTGAGGCTGCTGCCCATGGCCCGATGGAGGCCTTCACACACGGTATTGTCAGGTACATACATTTTCTCCAGGTCCTTAAATCCAGAAAATGCTCCTTTGGGGATGACTCGAAGCTTGGTGAGGACAAACCTCCTGAAAAGAGAGTGGACATAAAATATCACAGCCTATCCATTCATAAATAAGTGTCTAATGTATTGTTATCAGCTAACAGCAAACATGCACTGAGTGTTTGCCATTTAAGGATGGTTGAAATTGCTTTTACATGGTCTCTCTTCATCTTCACCACAAAGCAGTGAAGCAGTGATGCAGGCACTATTGTTATCCCCATTTTGCATAAAAGGAAACTGAGGTTTCGGGAGGTTAAAACAGTTGCCCAGGGTCACACAGCTCATGGTAGAGCCGGATATGAACCTTGCTTGTCACCCCTATCCCATATTGCCTACTGTAGCCCTTCCTCTACTCCAACCCTGAATACCTCTTCCCTTTTTGTCATTCGTAGCTGATCTTTCAAAGAGACAATGAACCCAATAGTAGTAGCAGGCATATTTTAAGAATTTTTATGGCCTGTACTTGTATTAAGTGTTTAAAACTTAACATAATTAAATCCTTTCTGAAGATTGAAAGTCTTGATTTCCGTTTCCTGAAAGGCTTTAAACTAGATAAATTGAAGATATTTCCACTAAAAATAGCCTAGATTTCTTATGTAACATATAAAAAATATTGTTCTAAATGCATAGCTGAGCTTGCAAGAATATATGAGAAATCTCCAGGGGTCCAACTGAAAACCTGAACAATGAATACAAAGCAGAATACTAAGAGAGTAAACTGAAGCCAAAGTGTGGGGAAGGGCAGTTTTTCTGGACTTTTTAGCTAAAGGATTTGTGCTTTGATGGAAAACTGGTACATGAGATGAAACATGGAAGAGGGATGCAAAGATCCATTTCTTTCATCTGTCTGTGCATTCTCTCTCTCTTTCTCATGCATTTTAAAAAGAAAGGTACAGAAGATGGATGACAATTTTCAATGAAATATAATCTGGAAATTTTTCATAATTTATAAAAGACATAAATCCTCAGATTCAGAAATCTCAACAAAGCCCAGGACAGGAACAAAAATAAATCCCCTGCCAGATATCTATTAGTTAAAACTGTAGACAATAAACATATTTTAAATGCAAACAGAGAGAAAAAGATATATCATCATCAAATTAAAAATTAGAAAACCTGTAAACATATCTTCAGAATTATTAGAGAAAATAATTGCCAATTTAGAGTACTATATCACAAAATGTTTATTTTCAAATGTGATGCTAAAGACACATTTAGAAAAATTTAATTAGCCACAACCACAAAGTTTTAGCAAAAGACTTCTTTTATAAATAAGAAAAATTAATTCAGTGAGGAAGAACAAAAAGCAAGAAGGAATACTGAACTAAGAAATTAGTGCTCCTTATTGAATAGGTGGATTTTCATAATCATTGGAAAACTTACCTACTTAATAAGAAATACTAACAAGATATTGACTAAGAACTAGGTCACAAACAAATTGGTATCAAACAAATCATTTTTTTGACAATGATGCAATTTAATTACTTTGAAATCAACAAGAAAATAAAATGAACTCCCCCCTCCCCACCCCAACACATGTGCACCCAATGGAAAAATCTAAACCAAAACAAAATAAACATCCATTTAAATGATACGGGTCAAAGAAGAAATTACAATAAAAATTAGGAATTACTTGGAATTTAGTTAAAATGCAACATATAAAACTTATGGGTTGTAGCTTAACTGTTACTTATAGAGAAATTTGTAGTTCTGTTATACCAGAAAAAGGAAAAAAGATGGAAAATTAATGAGCTACACTTCCATAGGAAACTAGTGAAAGAACAACAGAATCCTGGAAACAGAAAATTATAAATCCAATATTTATTTATTCCATTTGTGGCCAGAACTTAAGGTGCAAACTCAAAAGCAGTTTACTAAGAAAATTGATTAAATGACAAACTGTTGATAAAAATGTTTTGAGAAGATAAACACTCAGCTAAACTTACTTTGATACGTAGAATTTAAGTTCAATCTATACTAAACGTGGTATTTCACAATTTTAAGGTTAAGTTTCTACATAAATTTATGCTAAGATGGGTAAAGAAACTTTCTTGTAATATTGAAAACTTTATTACAATAGTTTCAAGGACTCTTGATTTAGAAATCTAACACTAAAAATGATTGTTATAAAAAAGTAACCTTATTTGAATGTTTTTTAAAGAAAACTGTTTATCACTTAAAGTTGCAAACCTGACCTATCATGGAAGGCTTTAACCAGAAACTTTCTGATAATTTGTTATGTCTTTATTGATTTAGCTGTAATTAATTAAAATAAAATGTGTGTGCAAATTTCTTTTAAATAAGGAACATTAGTAAAGGCAAAAGAAAAAGGAACTTTATTCTTAGTGAATTTTCATTTTAGAAATAAAGTAAATGAGTCTAACAGATTAAAGCACAGTGCAAAGTTTAAGTATGCCTTGAGAGAAGAAATCTAAAGAAAGTGAAGAGAAAAAATAATCAAGATAAGAGTAGAAATTAATTAAAAACAATGAAATGTATTAACAAAATCAAAAGCTAATTCTTTGGAAAGATTAATAGAATAAAAATATATTAACTTTAAGCAAGAAAATAACAACAATAAAACAGTGAGAAACGTGAAAAGTGACACTTAACTACCAGTATAATGGGTTTTAAATGAGAGAAACCTAAGAACAATTTTATAACATTAGATTTGAAAAAATCAGACAATATGGACAATTTTCTTAGAAATACATATTTAACCAAAACTGACTCAAGAAGATATAGAAAAATTTAATAGATCTATAAACATTAACAAATTGGGTTGGTAGTTTAAAAGCTACCCAGCATAAAACAAGGTCAGCATCATCTGATTTAAAAAGTAAATTCTACCTCTTTAAAATAATAGAAAATCTCAATCATACACAAACTATTCCAGAGACTAGCAAAAGAGAATACTCTTCAACCCATTTTATGTGGCTGGTGTAACATCAGTAACAAAGCCAGACAGAGACAATAAAAGAATGAAAATATTTAAGTCAGTCTCACTTATTAATATAAATAAATAGAAAAATCTGAAATAATATAGTGCCAATATATATCCAATAGAGGTAACAAATAACACATCATCATCAGTTTGGGTTTGTCCGAGAATTAAAGGGTTGTTAAATATCAGAAAACTCTATTAAAGAAAATTTCCACATATTAGGAATTAAGAGAGAAAAGCCACATGATTTTATTAAGAGTCATAGAAAATGTATTTGATAAAAACAACCCATTCATGATAAAAACTTTTTTTTAAAATACATTTTATTGATTTTTTTATAGAGAGGAAGGGAGAGGGATAGTCAGAAACATCCATGAGAGAGAAACATCGGATCAGCTGCCTCCTGCACACCCCCCACTGGGGATGTGCCCCCAACCAAAGTACATGCCCTTGACCAGAACCGAATCTGGGACCTTTCAGTCCGCAGGCCGACGCTCTATCCCCTGAGCCAAACCGGCTAGGGCCATGATAAAAACTTTTGACAGATAAGGAGAAGGGGGAGTATTCTTAATCTGTTAAAGAATTAAGTCTATCAACCGTTACAATAAATATACTCAATGGTGAAATATTAGGCACATTCCATTAAAATTAGGAATGAGGCAGGGATGTATGCCATTACATATTTCTTTAATGTTGTGCTAGATATCTTGTCTACACAGTAAAAGAAGAAAAATATATGTTAGGATTTTTTATTTTAAAACTTTCTTTACTTAAAGGTAACATGATTGTCTATACAACAAAGAAATTTTATTCTTAAAATAATCTAAGATTATTATTAGAACTAATAAGAAAGTCTAGTAAGGTATCTGGCTTTATAATTAGTACACAAAATCATTTGCATTCTTTTAATATTTTAAAGTATATCAGTTACAATGACCACAAAACTTATACAATAAGACATTAAGAAAACAAGACAGCAATTTATGGAGCAAGCATAATCAAATATTTAATTTAAAAGCATTAAGAAAAGCCCTGAGCAAACAAAAATAGCACATTCTAAATGGGAAGTCTCAATATTGTGAAGATATCTATTTTAATATTAATACATAAGTTAAATGCAAGACCCATCTAAGGCCCAATATTTTTTGTTTTGTTTTGATATGTGTGCATAGAAATTGACTAGCTGATGAATATTCAGATGGAAGAATAGCCCAAACAATTTTTAAGTAGTAAAACAAGATTGGGGAAATTATAGGTGAGGTAATAGGATTTTTATGAAGTTATAATGATTAAAATGCTGTGGTATTGACAGGGATTAAGAAATAGATCAATGGAAGAGAATAAAAAACACAGGAATAGACTATAAAATATAGGAAATGGCAAATGACCAGGTAGCATTAAAAATCAATGGAGAAAAATATGGACTAATCAATAAGGGATACTATTGTTTATCCTAGTGGAAAAATAACATAAGATCCTTCTTTGTTACCATATTAAAAATCTCACTTCTAGGTTTACTAAAGATCTAAATGGGAAAAAGCAAAACATTAAAACTTTTAAATAAAATACAATATTCTGTTTAGAAAACTTTCTTTAAAAAGACACAAAAAACTGCACAGCAAAATTAGAAAGAAAATTTCCAATACACTTGACTATATTAAACTTAAATTTTCTGTAAAACAAAGATACATGAAGTAATTGATAAGATGAGATATAGACTTGGGAAAGATATTTACAACACATACAACTAAAAAAGTGTTAGCAACCAGAACTTTACAAAGTAACAACAACAACAAAAATACATACAACCCTGTAGAAAATTGGCAAAAGATGTGAACAGTCAATTTACATAAGAGAAAATGCAAATGTCAAATAAACAAATGAAAAGATGCTCAAATTCACTAGTAACCAGGAGAATGTAAATTTAAACATTAATTAGATACCATTACATGCCATCTCACTGGCAAACATTAAAAGGAACACTTCATAATAACAAAGCTGCAGAGGCAGTGGAACAATGGGACATTTTCTGTACTCTTGATGGAAGGGTAAACTGCTACATGTACTCTGAATAGCCGTTT